AGAAATCTAAATTTAGGGAGGACAGGCTTGCCTTAGAAGTAATTTTTCGCTAGCCCAATACTTCTAATAATCAGAGCGAGACCAAGTATTATAGTTAAGATTGAAGAAAGAATTTTAAAAATGCATAAGTATATGCCAGTTTTTCATATATATATATATATATATATATATCTTGCACTTACTTGATATCAAGACATAAATGTGGCAAAATGTTGCCATTTTAAATTCTAGTATTAGTCTAACAATACTGCTACACTGGTTAGATAAGATGGGTTTAACTGGTTATTCTACGTTCTTAAATAAATAATAATCTAGAAAAAAATTATTGGTCAAAATAATTCGTCTATTATGCCTTCCAATAATTCAGACGTTCAGATAATCTAGCTTAACTAAGTCAATATTAAACGCCCAAAAGAGGCGAATTTTTGAATTATCCCATAAATTATGACGTATCGCTTTTATTCAACAAGTATGGTGAATGCAATGCTAAAAGGTGCAGTGCAAAAGGTTAATAAAAGCTTATTTTCATAAAATTGGATTCTTGATAGCCATTAAAAAAACTTTAATAAAAAAAAGATGTTGCAACTATAGTTAAAAGTAAATATGTAATTTACCAAAAATTGTAAAATCGCTAGGCTAAAATATTCCGCTAATCGGATTCCAAACTATCAAACAATATATGTGGATTACGCTAAATAGATGAGCGATATGGTGTATGGAAGGATCTGGAGAACCTACATCCTTTTTGATGAGATATGCCCGCAGTAGAGCTTCTCTTCGCTCTCGCTCAGCAGCCTTTTTTGCACGACGCTGGTCATCTTCTCGTTGACGCATTTCACGTTCATTCTGCTTAAGTCTGGCAAAGCGCTGGGCCATACGAGCACGATCGACTGCACGACGCTCTTCCAAGCGTTGGCGAAAGCAGCGAGCCACCTACAGATGATAAAGTAAAACGTAACAGTCCAGTGTAAGGGTGTTGACGTAATATATAAATAGTTAAATCATCGGCGAGAAGCCCAAAGCTGAATGTGAAATCAATAGTAAGAATAAAAGTGGATGCATATATAAATGTGAAAAGGAAGAAGTGGATTGAAAAATGAACTCAAGATGACTGAAAAAATAAATAGATAAGATAGAGTGAATTGTAGTGAAAATTTGAATAGGTTAATTGGGCCTAAGTTGCGCAATGGTCATAATCTCAAGGCGAAAGTTAAAGATAGATAATCGGAAAAGTTGCGAAAGCAAAGCAGGGTCTGGATAGTGGGACAATTTTCATCTTAGGTGAAAGTAACTATTGATATCCTTGGGTAGTTTTTACCTAATCTGATCGGCATTAGTCCACTTCCTTACTTAGCTGGGACGTCAATGCTGAAGCATTCCGTGAGACGCCCAACATCAGTTCAAGCGAAATTGTGCAGAGTTTTCATCTCTCAAATAAATGACACAATAACTGGGACAAATCATTATAAAAATTTGAGGCTTACGAATTTAAAGCTTGCCGGTTCATGCCTATCTTCTATAAAAAAATTTTTCTCTATGCTCGAATGTAAAAAAAAGAAAAATAACTTTGTATTAGTTTGACCTCATTTTCACAACTTATTCGGAGCGTCGGGGAGACCTCGTGGGATGTAACTAGTCACGCACCCTCTGCCATATAATTCGTGATTTCCAGCATCGGACAATTGACTTTGTGCATCCCAAACGTTTCGCCGGTATCGTTGATGAGAGGTGCTATCGTTAGCACAGAGTTACAACTCCCCCCAGCGACAAGTGAAGGCAATCCTCATGACCATCTAAGCCTAGCGTACTAGTCAGTTGTTATAGTGTAAATTGGTTAGGATCTCTTTTTTATGGTCAGGCGTGTAATCAGTCACCCCTCACTAAACGCACACGCGAAAACGGCCACACACACACTGGGGACCTATCTCGGGCATACATTTGGCCTAGCATTTCTAACAAAGCATAATCTGCGTGCTTCTGGCCTTTAATTCTCTATCCTACATTCCATATCCCACAGATGGACCCCTAGAGGTAAATTTTCAGTTGGTTCGACCTTGCGGAACTTACTTAGCTCAGTGCCCTCTGCCATAGTATTCGTGACTTCTAGCATTGGACCATTGACTTGGTGCATTCTCAAACGTTTCCCAAAATTGTCAGGCTGATTCCTGCTTGAAGTCTTCTCAATGAAATCGCCTTTTTTTGAACCCCCCTTTTTTCCCATACGATCCTCTCCTTGGTGATGTCTCTTCCTGTTATTGAATATTTGCCCTTAGTCCAAGTGTCTCCTTTAAGCTGTCCTCGCTAAATCTTCAAATCTGTTCAGGCAGTAAACGAAATTATCACTGACTTTTCTCTATTCCAAGCTCCTGTTAAACAGGTTTCTTTGAAACAGGATATTCCTGATATTCCATTATCTGGTGTTCTCCCCATGTGAGGCCAGTCTTTCTGGTGCACCCAAGCAATTGTGTGGCTGGTAAGTGAGATGTGTTCAGCTGTCTCTGGTCTTTCTGTATCCAC